AAATATATAATTATATTATTAAAATTATATTTTTTTCATTTTATATATTAATCAATAATTTCTAAAGAAAATACAATTTTAATATTATAATTATGTACTTCTTAGAGTACATAGTTATAAGGGGATAAAATATATAATGACAAACTATTTTTCCTATATATATATATATATATATATTGTTAGAGATATATAAAACTATTAATATAGTCTCACCTAACAATTTAAATTTTTATGTTGAATTGATTTTTTACATGGTATTAGAAATTCGGCGTTCCGATTTCAATTATCATCGCCCCCCATATTTTTTGTAAAATTTCTTAGCACAAGAGGCTGGTCCTAATGCAACATTCACATTTCCAGCTCAACACCTAACAGCTTAAGGGCCCGTTTGTATGGGCTTTTTTCTCTCCAGAAGTTGCTTTTTTTATTGAAAAAAACACTTTTCATTTTTAGTTCGTTTGGATGTCTGCTTTTAAAAAAAGCACAAGTCACAAAAAAAGTCAAAAACCTACTTTTTTCTGAAGCTAAAAATTTTAAATTCTAAAAAAAGCAGAAGTCAAAAGCCAAATATTTTTTTTCAAAATCTAAATATTTTTATAAAAATATAAATAACTTTAACTTTTGTAAAAAAGACTTCTAAAATAAGGAAGAGAAAAAAGTTATTTTTTTTAAAAGTGCAAAGAAACGGGCTCTAAGAGGTGTATTAGATTAGGATTTTAAAAGATATTTTGAGATAAAAAATCTTATAGATTTTAAAAGACTATTTAGAATTGGAGGGACTTTAAAGACTTTTTTTACAATAAAAATTTCATAAGATTGGATTTTAAATGATTTTAATAGAATTTATAAGATTTGAAAGGACAATATAAATTTATAAGATTCTACAAAACATAAGAATTTTAATAAACATTCAAACTTACAAGAGTCAATAAAAAAACAAAGAAATGTAATGATATTAATAAAAAAAAGTAAAACCTAATATAATATTTTCAATCAATAAAATATAATATAATTTTTAATAAATATTCAAAATTATTAAGCAACAACTCTCCACGTATCTAAAGATATACTAGTCCTCCACGCATTACATTTTCTCATTCCTGCTTTTGAGTTTGACCAATGGGTTGAAAATTATCTTCTTTATTTGGTATCAGATATATGTTTATGTGATTATAAGACCCAATTTTTTTATTTATTAAAATAATTTTAAATTTACATATAGAACCTAAAGTTCATGTTAAAATTTCATTTGAAAATTTTGTGATTTTGGAAACCTTGGGGTTTTTGTTCTACGTGATGAGAGTTTTCTAACCATATATCATATGCATGTTTTTATTGAGTATTCTAAGAAAATTACGAATCTGAATTTCTGGATTTTATTACGTAAAAGTTTAGAAAATTGCTCAAATTATTTTCAATCGATACATTGAAACCTTAAATTGCTTTGGGACATTTAAAAAATAAGTCTTTAGTTATCTATTGACACAAAAATTGTTTGAAATTATTTTCTATAGTGAAGGAATTTCGTTCATGAATGTATTGTTGCGAAATATAGGGTTCATAATATTATGAAAGTTCAATTTTTCTTTAAATTGATATTGTTCCATTGATGTAAAACAAAATTTTGTTTGTGGGTTTTTGTTCCATATTATTTTTAATACAAAAATCATACATTTTTGTGCCAAAAAAAATCGTGACCTATAGTATGAAAAATTATTTTTTAAAATTTCCAAAAGCTCTAAAAAATCAGCTATTTTTGAGATGGATTATATTAGAATCTTGTTGGTTTGTTGTTTTTGAGTTGTTTTGTAATGAAAATCACTCAAAAATTTGCTTTTTTGAGCTTTGACGAAGCTTCAATGGCGGAACTTGATTTTGAGCGGGTCAACCCGCCAAAGGAAGAAGAAGACACTGTAATAGATAAATATCAATAAATGGGTTAGGTGAGATTCTAAGAGAAACATCCTATTTATATTTCTCCAAAAAGTCTTACGAAATCCAAATCAATAGAAAATCTATTAAAATCGTCACATTTTTGAATGAGCAAGATTGTTTTTTCTTTTGTTTAAAATACTGATTGAATACCAACAGATTTGGTCGGACGTTAAAATAATATTTTAAAATCCTAATCGAATACCATTTGACTTTTTTTCAATACTTTAAAGTTCTAATTGAATACTAATAGATTTTTTTGTCCAAAAATAATCCATTAAAATCATTTGAAATCCTAATTCAATACACCCCCTTAAACTTTTAGATTGAATTGGTTCTTTACATATATATATACATATGGACTTATTGTTTCTCAAGTTACTTGAGATAACTTTATATCCTACACTAAATCATAACCGTACAAAGATGGATCAATGGTAATAAAAGAAGAGGGAGAAAAAGAGAATCACAATCATTCAAAGGTGAATCAATTAATATAAGAAAATAAATAAACAAAATAATGTAATTTTTTGGATGGACGGAGAAAAATATATCTGAAGCTGTTTGAGAATTTTTTTTTCTCTCTTTATATATATATATATATATATATATATATATATATAGAGGGAAATAGTTTTCTCATTTCACATGAGAAAATTTTCTCATGCTACACTCACAATACATGAGTGGGTCCCATTTTGACTTTTTTGTTTTCTCACTTTTTGTGGACCCCACTCATGTATTGTGAGTGTAGCATGAGAAAATTTTCTCATGTAAAATGAGAAAATTAATTCCATATATAATTGTTATACTTACTACTTTTTTTCTCACAGCCTCTTTCTACCAAATTTTAACGGTAGATATTCTGTCAATTTAACGGTTATAATTTATTTGAAATTAATAATTAATTAATAAGTGTGACCTAATAAATTATAACTGTTAGATTGACGGAAATTAACGGTTAAGAGTTGGTATTAAGAGGTAGTAAAAAAAAAGATAGTAAATATAACATTCCCTATTTTATATATATATATATATATATATATATATATATATTTTACATAGGGGACGGTTATACTTACCACCAGGTAAGTTTACCATCCTTACCACCAATCTTATCACCGTTAGATTAAAATTAAATCTAACGGTTCATAATTATCCTTTATAATTCTAATTTTACTCTCTCATCCTCTCTATCTCTCTCTAGGTTTGGGATCTGCACTCCTCTTTCTCTCTTTGGAAATCAACTCTCTCATCCTCTCTTTATTGTTATAATTTTTCTATCTTTCAATTCCAGCAAAAATATCTCACCAAGACAAATAATTGGACACATTAGTTAATTCTTTTCATTGTCACTGAATAAATTTATGAATTCGCAATTCTTTTTGAAACAATATGCTTTTATATTACTGATTATTGAGTCTCTGAGTAATATGAAATCGCAATTCTTTCAATTGTCTCTGAGCAACGTACATCACGCACGGTTTGAATTTGTGTTTTCCGATGTGAAATTCGTAAAAAATTTGTATCCACTTTCATTCGGTAAACGTATATATGACAAATTGCTATATGTACGCTAGATGGGAATTCTTCTATGGGTTTTGTATCTATAATTTAACATGACCACAACAACTTTCCTACACACACAATATTTTGTGGGACCCACAATTTTTGAAACCAAAAAAAAAAAAAAAAAAACTCTGGCACGCAAAACGAATCTCTATAACATAACACAATCACTTTTCCTACAACATAACTCTTATTAAACCCTTCTTCTATTACTCTATAGCAATTCATTCGATAAACATATAACAAATGAGAACTCATCTTCAAAGCATTTGGAGAGAGAGGTGTGCAGATCCCAAACCTAAAGAGAGATGTGCAGATTTCAAATCTAGAGAGAGATAGAGAGTAAAAATTAAGATTATAAGTGATAATTATGAACCGTTAGATTTAATTTTAATCTAACGGTGATAAGATTGGTGGTAAGGGTGGTAAACTTACCTGGTGATAAGTATAACCGTCCCCATATATATATGAGAAATCAAAACCATACAAAGATGAAAATAAATATAGCCGTTGGATCAACATAATCGATCTAACGGTGAGATTAATTGGTAGTCACTTGGTAGTAACACAACTTGGTTGTCACAATATCCTTCCCCTATATATATATATAAGTGTGTGAGATCTATATGTGATCATTAGGAATGTGCATGGGTCGAACCGTTAACAAAATAAGCTAAAAGCTATTTGGAAATTAGATAAAAGTTTTAGCTTAAAAATTACTTAAAAGCACATATTTCAAGAAAATTATCTCTCTCTATCTTTATCACTCTTCATTTAAAAAAAAAACACACAATTCAAGAAAATAGTTAAGAACTTAAAAAAAAGCTTCTCCTAGGAGCTTTTAGTTTTCAGCTTTTTTCTTCATTATATAAAAAAGAGCTTTTCGTTATAAGAGTTTTTCCCAAAACCTGCTTGGCCTAGCTTATGCTTATAAGTAGCTTCTAGCTTAAAAAAGAGAGGATCCAAGCAGGCACTTAGTGACCATATAAAAGGAAAATAGAAATTTTTTTTTCACTTATTTTATATATATATATATAAAAAATAAAATTATCTCCAAAATAATAAGAAGGACTAATCATTTTTAAAATGATATTACTCGAGGCCATATTAATTACTACTCCCACTGTGCATATGCCATATCTATGGAAAATGATGCTTCCCCTATTGATTTCATTTATTGTGGAATGTCCTTTTCAAAAATTGATCTTTGTGTATGAGATTGTAAATTAAGTCTAAAACTAAAATTGATCTTGGTTTCAATAAAACCTTTTCACGTGAAATCTTCTAAAACTAGACCAAAACATGTTTCAGAATAAAATAAAATAAAATGATATATGTATATTTTTCTCGCATAATATCACAGTGAAAAAAAGGAGAGAACAAAATTGGAAATTTTGCCCAATCTTTTTTTTTTTTTGGGTACATATTTTGCCCAATCTTTGAATCCAAAGCATTAGAAGGTTATATTTTTTTTTATGGACCTCTATTTCTCGGGGGGAAAATCCATCCTCCGCCTATATCCCCGGTGACACACCGTTGCCGGCCAACCCTCTCTCCTCTCTCTCTCTCTCTCTCTCTCACTCACGCTTAACTTGACCATATATATCCAATTTTGGGATTAATAAAAAATTGAAAACTTGGGTACCCATTTTTTCCACACAAAGAAAATAAAAAGATAATCATCTTCTTCTTGCTTCACACGATCTTCTTCATCCCCCACCCAGAATGTACACTAACCCATCACACGGCAGCATCGAAGTTTGAATCTTTGTGCAAAACGAGCTCGTGGGTAGGACGTGCTTGTTAGAGAGAGAGAGTGCAACGCTAGAGAGAGAGAAACAGTGTGTTTGTGTGTGTTATGGTATGGCTCAGCAGAGGCAATCGGGAATGGAGAGGTTCGGGGTGAGGGTGGGGACCCAAGATCTGAACCACCCCAACGGCTCCACCGATCACGTCGCCGTCGGGATTCGCGGCGCCGTTCCTAACAAGCAGCCTCGGCTCCGGCGATCGGCGCGATCCGACAGGGGCACGCAGCTCTCGGTGGCGGCAATCTTAGTTTTCCTCTTCCTTGTACTTGTCGTCACTGTCCTGGTTTTTTCTTACATTTCTAGAGACGGTGAAGTTCTGCTCTCAATGAATGTTTTCTTTTTTGTTTTGATCACAATGTCTTTTTGCTTTTTTTTGGGCTTGTTGTGTACCCATATGAATCAGCATTGTGGGTTTTGCATGAATTTGAGTGTTATTTCTTGTTTGTTTGCTGGGGGAAGTTGTGGAGTGGGAAAAGGGGGTTTGAATCTGTGATTTTCCTGGATTAATGTCTTGGTGTGGGTTTTTCAATTGGTAGAATTGGGGTTGAGTTATTTGGGAAGCTAATACATTAAGTTCAATGGCTTCATGCATTTTGTCAGTGACCAGAATAATCTCTGTCAAACCAAATATTTGCTTCATCATCAAAGATGATTTTATTATTGTTATTATTTTTCTTCAAGTCTTGAAGGGAAAATGTTTATTATCATTAAATGATCTTTTTTGACTGAGACAGTACTTTTATTTTTTGAAAATGATTTTATTTCTGTAATTTTAAGATTGTCAATCTATGGTTGCAGAAATAAGTAACAGTGGTGATGATAAAGATGAGTTAAAGAGTGATTCTGATTTTCTTACAAATGTACCACGGATAGAGAGGAAGAAAGTCCTTGACTTTGGGCACGGCTCTGGGGGACATGGCCGAGATTCAAGATATTGGGATAGGGATGATAGGAGAAGGGATGATGATTATGATGAGGATATGATGGAGCAGACAAGTAGGGATCCTGGAGATGAAAATTCTGAAGATGATGCTCTTAGGATGAATCACAGTATGCAGTCTTCTCAGGATGGTTCTCACACAGGCTTAAAGCGAAGAGGTGTTGGCTTGTATAATGAAGCTGGACGTCATGAATTGAAAAGGTATGAAGCAGAATATGAGGCCTCTTTGAAGAATCTGGGACACTCTACTGAAGATGATGGGAAAATGTCGCATGATGCTGATCTGGAAAAGAAGAATGCAGCAGATGACATTGTTGATGAGTATGATGACTTTTTTGATTTCCATGATGCTCAAATGGAAGACTCTGGCGATAGTGGAAATATGAGAGTGAAACATTCTAATTCCAATGTACTAAGGTCGGACAGCGAAGTTCAGACAGAATCCCATGATTCTTTTGATGTGGGAACCAATGATGATATTACTTCTGAGGAAGTTGATGGAGCATCTTCCTTGAACAAAAGAACAAATTCTAGACATGCAAATCTTATTAATGGACATTCAAATAAAAAACCACATCCTGAAACAAAGAAGAAAGCCAAGCGCCGCAAATATTCAGGTGAATTTTATTCTTTCAGATGGTGTTTTCAGTTCATCTCCCAAGACATCTGTTGTTGTATTACCCTCCTTGGAAAGTTATTTGCATGTGTATTCTTTATCACTATTTATTTGTTACCTCATTACCGTTGTTCACAAAGATTAGAATTGGTAGTACCTTTGGTTATTTTCATCTTATTGATACTTTTGCGTAGGTGCAAATATGATAGCTTTGTTCTGTTGCAAGTTATTTATTTATTCGATTAGTTTCTGAATAAAATATAGAACCTTTTCCTCTTCAGACAGTTAATCTAGAAATGGGGAACTGTTGAAACTCAAGGGCCTTCTAGGGGTTGGAGCAGGGTGAATATCTTGGCTATATTCATTATTCAAATAGGAATATGGTTTGAGGTATGATACAGACCAACAATTCCAATACAGAAACAACTCAAGAACAGTATATTGCTATGGGAAATTACAGTGACAATAATGGAAGAGACAATTAACAGTAATCAAAAAGAGAAAATAACAATGATAGTTCTAGAGCAATTGGAGAGGCTCTAGTCTCTCCCAAATCACCTAAGAGGTGCCCAAAAGTTCCAAGTCCCAAAGATACCTCCCTCCTTCTACTATTTCCTATTTATACTAATTCTTTCCCTTCATTCCAGTATTGCTTCTCACGTGTGACACTAACAGAATTGCCTTCCACTAATATTTGCTTCTAACTGCCTTGCTGACTCAGCTTCTTCTAGAATATACCTTTAGAGGTGGTTTAGGGTGGTATCCTATCAAGGTATCTTTGACTTGATGCAATTGTTGTTTCTCATTCTTGTTTATTTTCATTTTGGTGTCCCCGAAGTTTTTACTTAACTAGGAACCCTTTTTATTGTTGGGTTTTCTAGTTTTACAAATCAAATTATATGGACTTTCTGTAGCATTTTTTTCACCATGACCAGTAGGCATTATTCACATGTGTGCGTGCATGTACACGCGCAAACACGCACAGAGAGAGAGAGAGAGACCCTGTCGGGGGCGGGGGTTTGGCCCTGTGTATTCAACCCCAGCTTTGTTTTCAGAAAGGAAGGTGCTAACACTGAACTAAGGTGTAACTGGCATGGACCATGCATTTTCAAATTCCGACAGAACAATTGAACTTACACACACACACACACACATTCACCTTGTGGGGGAGGTGGGTTTGAGCCTTGTATATTCAACCCCAGCTTTGTTTTCAGAAAGGAAGGTGCTAACACTGAACCAAAGTGTAACTTGCACGGGCCTTGCATTTTCAAATTCCAACTAAACCATTGAGCTTTTGAATTGGAAGTGATCTGAGAATGTAGTGGTCCTAATCAGTTAGTGATTTCATCTGAAAACTGGAGCCAAAGATTTTAGGCTGCTTATCTGTAGAAAGGTGGCAAGTTTCTGGTTTTGTTTAAAGTGGACGGATGAAATATGTGAATACTCTGTTTTTTATTCCTTTTAAAGAAGTTTGTAGGACTTCTTTCCTTTCTGGTCTGTCAGCCAGGAAAGGATCATCTACGTATGGAAGTTTAACTGAAATCACATGGCAAATATGAGTTTCAATTATATCCTACTTCTGCTGCAATATTTTGGGGGTGGGAGGGTGTGTGTATCATTTAAAATAGCAGATAAATAGGTCTAATCAAGATGTTTTCTAATGTTTTAGATATTTGAAAATATTTAAAAATATAAATTTTCATATTTAAATAGATTTCTGGTTTAAACTGGTTCCATAGGAATCTGTATAAACTTGGTTTATATATGATTTGTTTTTACTCTTCACTTCCTGCCATCACCATTTTTCTCATGGGTTAAAATCTGACAAATTTACCAAATGACATTGATTTTAAAGTCAATTTAAAACCAGTTTGCAGACTAAACAGTATAGTTTAGACATAGTTCCAAGTTATATAGATATTATCTAATTGGTTTTATTTTGAACTGTTAAAGTCGCTTTTAGATTTACCAAACACTGCTCATTGTAATATTTTCTCTATCACTACTTTTATCCAAAAAATATAAATAGAAAATAAAATAAAAAAGGTCTTTAACCTGCTTGATATGTCTCCTATTTTACAGGCTCCTGTGAGATGAAGTTATTAAACTCTACTTCGCTGCTTGTAGAACCACTAGAAAGTCGAAAATTTGCAAGATTTAACTTACAGTACACGGAGATAGAAGAGAGGCCCCAGGGAGGAGAACAATGGGTGCCCAGATTCGCAGGCCATCAGAGCTTAGAAGAGAGGGAAAATTCATTTTTTGCACGTGATCAGAAAATAAAGTGCGGTTTTGTTAAAGGTCCTGAAGGGTCTCCTAGCACTGGATTTGACATGGCAGAAGATGACGTAAGTTACATTAGCAGATGCCACATTGCTGTGATTTCATGCATATTTGGAAATTCTGATCGCTTGAGGACCCCAGCCACCAAAACGGTAGTGATTCTACTTTATCTTTTATTACAGTTTGTGGGGTTGGAGAGGTATTTGGAGGTTAAGAATCACAAGTGTGATTTTTCCAGCAACATATTATTCTATTCTGAGTTTCATTAAAAAAAAAAGTGATAGTGCTTTTTACTTTGTGCTGCATCTCCCTGTATTCTGATCTAATTCTGCTCATGAAATTTGATTATGATATTGCCCAAAAGGCTCTCTAGGAATTGGATACCAATATTTGCGTTTGACATGGTTGTAAGCAGACGCATGCATGTTTGGACTTTTCCTCCCCAAGGTGTTTCTCTGGTCCTGTTACCTGCCATGATAAGTTGTAATTTAGTTGGTTTCATCCTTAGTTTCTGGGCTTATACCCTCTTCTTTGTTGGACTTCTGAATACACTAAAACCTGCTTATGTCTTTCCCCGAAAAAAAAAAAACTCCTTATGTTTGTACGTATTAGTCTTACTCTAGAAGGCCAATTGAGACACATGATTTTATTTATTTATTTTTTTTATTTTTTTTGGGGGGGTAGATGAGACACATGAATTTTAAACTATGAGAAAATAAGCAGATATTTGAAAACTGATTGGAATGTTTTCTTCGCTTGATCCAAATCGAAAGGCATCCGTCATTCACAACACTTAACATGAAGTGGGAGGAAATAAGTTTCCTATAAGAGTTGGGTATTGTATGTTTGGCTTAAAAAAAAAATATCCCCATGAAAACCCAACTTGCGAGTGTAGGGGTGAGGGAAATCCTTTTACCCAATTTTACCTTTGTATTTTTGCAAAGAGACTATTTCTGAATTCGAACTTGTAATCTTTCAGTCACAAAGAAGCAACTTTACTACTGCTCCGAGCTCGCCCTCTCATGTTTGGCTTCTAAGATGAGGAAAAATATGTACTCATACTCCTTTAATTTTTTAAGTTGCCTAGGAAAAAAGGACATTTAAGCATTACCAACTGATTTAGTCATTACTTTCCTTTCTCAAAATTGAACTTTTTATTTGCATTGAATGTTTTGATTTTGAAATTGAGTTGTTGTGACTATTAAATCTTGAGGACAGAGCTTCTTATGCGCGGCCAACCATCAACTGTTGATGCAATTGCATAAAGCATGATTTGTTAGTTTAATCAAAGTCATTGTGATTTCAGGTCACTCGTTTGTCAAGAAAGAATGTCTGCTTTGTTATGTTTACTGATGAAGTTACAATTCGAACACTTTCTGCTGAAGGTCATGTACCTGATAGAATGGGTTTCATTGGCTTTTGGAAGTTAGTGGTAGTGAAGAATCTACCCTTTGATGATATGCGGAGAGTGGGCAAAATACCTAAGTTATTGCCACATCGACTTTTTCCTTTTGCAAGGTGAGACTGAGTCTGAATAGACATGTGTTGTTCATTTGTTTTTGACAGTATTGATTTGGATGCAGTTTTAATTATGGTGACTGCTAAGTGGCATTAACACCCAGACAGATGTGTTGATGATGTGTTATTTTAATTTAAGATTAAGTAGTGAAAATTTGTCTTAGGTTGTTTTGATTCATTAACTATATATAAGACCAAACCAGTAGTGTGGGAAAGAGGAAGATCAATTAGAAATTGAAGAGTGTGATAGTAATACAGATAACAGGTTAACTACTGGTAAAGAACATTAAAATTGCTCAAAGGTCACTGATAAATGATGAAAGAGAATTTATACGGAGTATTATTTATTTTGATTAATGATTTATGGGCATGAATATATTTGGGATTAAAGCTTTGTTGTACTTGTTCACACTACTGTGTATTCAGATGTTTTATAAGTTGGAGATGTTTCTATGAAAGTTTCATGTCGTCTTGGTTTATTATTGCAACTGATGCCTATTTTAGCCAGTCTTATGTCTGCACATTCCTCATCCTTTCTAGCCTAAATTGACTTAGAAAATGAATCATTTTGCATTTCCTAATTTTAGAATCTCGGGTTTTGGAACAGTTTAAATCCTCTTTACAGCATGATGCTGTACAACAGAATTATAAACCCCTTTTTTATGTAATGTTCTATAGATAGGTATCTGAAATCTTTAGGCAGGTTTATTATTGATTTTCTTTTTTATAAGTTGTGTGTTGGGTTAGTTACTGTTTTCTTTGTATACAAGTTTCTTACACGGTCAATAATTTTATGCTTCTGGTGTTCTTTGAAATTTTGTTTCAGGTATTCAATTTGGTTGGATAGCAAATTAAGGCTGCAGCTTGATCCTTTACTTATCTTGGAGTACTTCTTGTGGCGAAAGGGTTATGAATTTGCGATATCCAACCACTATGATCGACATTGTGTGTGGGAAGAGGTAGCACAAAACAAGAAATTGAACAAGTATAATCATACGGTTATAGATGAACAATTTTCATTTTACCGGGCTGATGGACTGGAAAGATTTAATGCCTCTGATCCAAACAAGCTTCTTCCAAGCAGTATGTTTTTTTAAGGGTTTTTTTTTTTTTTTCTGTCAATTATCTAAGTTGTTTATTAAATGTACTGCCACTGACTGACTCCTGATATATACATTTTCTCTTTTGACAGATGTACCTGAAGGTTCTTTTATTATTAGGGCACACACCCCAATGTCAAACTTGTTCTCCTGTCTTTGGTTCAATGAAGTTGATCGGTTTACTCCTCGTGATCAGCTGAGTTTCGCGTATACTTATCAGAAGCTGAAAAGGATGAATCCTGACAAACCTTTTCATCTTAATATGTTTAAGGTGAAGAAACTTTAGACACTGCTACATATAGATAGTTACTCTCCACTATAATAGTTTATGCTATAAGGGTAGGGATCAAAGTACTAGGCATGTGAATTTCATGGTTTATGTTGTTTTTTTATGCCCAGGACTGTGAAAGGAGACACATAGCCAAGTTGTTCCGTCATAGGATGGATGAGAAGAGGAATACTCGTCAACAAGCAACAGAATAAAGCGAGTTTTCATTAACATTTTTTTATTGCTAATGGGCTTGATATGATGTTTACTTGGCCAGTCTGTTCCATATCTCTGATGGTAATCTGCTGCAGAGTTTGTGCCACGGTTCAGTGACTAGATGATTCAGCAAAGGTGTTTCCAAAGGAAGTGAAGTGTTTCTCAAATTATGATCTACAATGCTGCTGTGTCATCCATGCAACATAATTTTTTGGTTATGTTTTGTCGAATCTCTTGTACAAGTCCATTTGTGCATTCATTTATGCCTTGGGAAACAAGCAAAAGCATCAAATGACTCCTTGACCATCACTTCCATCCACTACTACGGCTCCTAGTCATATTTCATTTCTAAATGATAAATTGTGATTGTTTATATGTAGAAAATTTTGATAGGTCATTCATACTCATGTTAGAAATCTTACTCGTGATTCTTATCACATTGATTTTATTAGTTAAGTATTTCATTATACTCGCTTTTCCCCTTTCCCATCTTTTTTCTCTTACTTTTCCTCCCCCTTCCCTATACCCGTTTTATTTTTATTTTTTATTTCTTACCGTCTCATTATTTGTTGTCCTCTTATATATTTTTATCTTTAGTTTATTTTAATATATTTTCCCTTTTAATTGTTTCTTGCTTTTTATATATATACTTAAATTTAATTTTTATATTTTTTTTTCAATTTATGCGTATCTTTTATTTGAGTTCATCTATCACTGACTTCATTAGTTTGGGATAAAGATATTGCTGATGTTGTCATGTTGATTATATTCGCATAGATGAGTTATTAAATTTCAACCGTACCACTGTCCTTTTATCCACACTATTGGGGGTGTTTGGTAGAATTTTTTTTTTGAAGATTCACGGGAAACTGAAGGTGGTAACTTTATTTACCCAATTTAGTATGAGATTTTTAAAAATTTTCTGAGATTTTATTTTTTGTGTAAAATTTTCCAAAAAGACCATCTAAGAATATCACCCAGGGGATGGTATTTTAAAATTTTTATGGCAAGGAAAAATTTAACACAACCAAATATAACATCAAGAAAATTAATCTAACGTTTTCGGAAATATTTTGGCATATCAAATAATTTTTTGGTAACATTCTCGGAAAATTCATTTTTTCATCATATTTCTAGAAATTATAATTTTCGGATAAAAAAAAATTTCTCCTTTACCAAACGTCCGAAGGAGTCTCTCCCTTTGCTTTTTGGGTACTATATGATTACTTGGTGCCATGCAAATAGAACGACCAAAATTTCAAAATGAGATAGCCATATGCATCTTAAGTAATAAGTTTACCAAGTAAAATATGGTTGACTGATGCTGGAACCATCCTACATTCCTACCATTTAATATCCGTTAGGGTTCAACCGTAAACTACATTTTGAAGCAAAGAACGAAGGCAGAAACCATCATTTGGCTTGGTACGAAATGTTGAAGTGAATTAAGATAAATAGAGAGGTTTGAACTACGGCAAGAATTTTTACCTTGAGCTAATATGGCACTTAGCAAAGTAGAGAAATATTGGGCCATTCACATAATTCTTGTGCATCTAATGATCACTGACATTGTCAACGTGGCTGTGAAACAGCACATGTTTCCCTCTTGTACGAGTTTTGGATTATATTTTAGGGAAATCAGTTTGTCATGTTGTAGGAATGACACTGTTTCTTCCTGCAACAAGGATCCGGTTCTGGATCATGACCTTTTTTTTAAGTGTGGATTCCACACTTGATTTATGTGTACAGGTCAAAAGCTTTTGTCCTGTGATATGACAAAAAGCGAACCTTATATTTTATAAGATATTTTAAAACAGTATAAGTACAAACAACTTGTGCATTTCAAATAGATAGTAACAAAAAAAATTCAAATAGATAGTAACATAAAAATTATCTTGAACAAATGGCGGTAGTTCAGTGAGCGCATGAAGCTGAATAGGTGGAGGTGAGAGTATGTGTTCGATCCTCCTCAGTACTCACATTTGGGAGGGGTTTAAAGTCTTAATCCTAAACTCGTCCCGAATAGGATTAGTCGCGAACAGATTGGAATATTTCCAAAAAAAAGGAAAAAAAAATTATCTTGTAACCCAACTACTTGTATTACACTGTTCTGTTTGTGATCTCCTTCGCACTCTTTATATCTGGATTTTTTTATTAACCTATTAACACGCATGTACAGGGGTCTGTTGAGTTTTTATCCAAGTTCAATCCTACTCAATCCATTGCTATCAAGAGGGAGCTGGGTACAAAACACCCAATAACTAATCCAACTCAACTCTTGCACCCCCTAATTCTGATGTTAATTTCTTCGGATCAGTTTCTACAAACATTTTACAAATGATTTGGCATGTAAGTTTCCAATGTTATATTTCATTTGTTATTAGCAACAGTTTGGTGGTTGAGAAGATAAAGTGCGCGAAATGGCATAAGCCACGTCCTTCGTAGCTATACTTAGCAGAAAATATTGGTGATATATAGCAGCTCTCAATGTCAAATTAAAGTTAGAAGCATAATAGCGAAAAAATCGAAATATAAAAAAGGATAAATAACTCAAACTTATTTATTAAAGAATAGTACAACATATGAAAACCGAAATTAAATTTTTTCGCAACACACGCACATAAAAAAAATTGGAAACCCAAATTGTTATACATAAACATTACATCACGTCAAAACAGAAAAGGTCAATACGTAACTCGTAGCCTTGATTTGAAGCGAGCCCATACTTAATTGCTGCTTTTGTTATAATACTTATTTGTGAAATTCCATGACTCCCAAAGCAGAGAAAGCACGGCAAGCAACATTAAATTTTGAAAATCCAGAGAGCTTGCTTAAATTCTCATATTGTTTCTGTGTTCTTTCCCTTCCACCAACAGTGATAAACATGAGGTTGTCCAGAGTGGAAACAAGCTTGGATTCATCAGTTTGTTCTGGTTCTTCTGGCAATATGAACTCCACAACAATCACCTTCCCATTTGGTGACAATGCTTTGTGACAATTGCTTAAAAATTCTATGCATTTTTCATCTGACCAGTTGTGGCATACAGCCTACAATAAATCATGTCAGCATGGACAGAAAAACATTGTGTTTAGCACCAAAATATATATATATATAATCAGATTAGATAAACCTATCAATCATCTCGATCGAACTCAAGTAATAAATTAGATATATAGAGAAGTTACAAGACGTACTAACCTTTAGTATTATGGCATCACCCCGCGGAACAGTCGCAAACATATCTCCTCCAACGTGCTCAATCCCTTTACAAAATTTGGTAGTTTGCTGATTAATAATTTTGATGAACTAACATGTACACTTATAATTGTATCATTATCAGATATCTTAGTATATATATTTGATATGACGCTACTAAGTCAGGCTACCTGGAATGGGCGGTGCATGTTCAATCACTTGTGGCAGATCAAAATTAATTCCCTTGATTGAAGGGTACTTTGAGATTATCATTTTGAGATTTTGTCCATTTCCACCACCAACGTCAACCAATGTTGATATTCCCTCAAATCCATTGTATATTTCAAGCATTCTTTTCATCTCCGTTGCACACACATCTGACATTGATTTGTTAAAGATGTGGTTCATTTTAGGATCCTTTTCCATGTACTCGTACTTTGTTATTCCATGAAGTTTCTTGAACAGGTCAATGTTCTCATCAACCACAGCTTCCTTGAAGTTCAGCCTGGAAATTCAAGAAATGAAGGTAATTTTGTTAGCTTTTAATTAAAAGCAACATATATATATATATATATATATATATATATATATATATATATATATTATATTATATCATGTAGATTATGGGAAATTAATGCTATAATTAAAATGACATACCAAACTTGTAAGAGAGCAGGATAACAGAGAAATGTAGTGAAGGAAGCCAAGTAGCCCCTGGTTTCATCAGAGACTAAGTATTTACCAACTGGAGAGAGAGCATAAACTCTCTCAGAGGAACCATGAAGAGTGGTGCGAGTGGAACAAGTAAGAAGAGAATAACTTGAAAGCAAACGAAGCATGCGGTCAAGCCTATTAGGCAAGTCAGAGTGTTGTGTTGGGAGTTTAGAAGCAATTTCAGAGGGTGAGATGAAGGCATCAACACCATCACCATCACCATCACCAACAGCACCGTGTGTGGTTGTTGCCTTAGCTATGATATCAAACAAGTTGAGTTCAATAGCAGCATTGAGGACTGCAGGATACACAAGGTTAGTAGTGAGTAACATTGCAGAGAGGCAATCACCATCCTCTGTTTTCACAGATGAAGCATTAAGCACGTGAGAGTTATCCTCACTCAAATAGGAACCTGACATTTTTGCTTCTTTTCTTTTTGGGTTGGCTTCTGTGGAATGGTTTGTGCTTGTTTCCTTATTCTCAAAGTGTTTCCCTTTTTATAGGAAAAATATAACGATCCACCACATGCACCGTCACTTTGGTGTCTAAGTCAAGAAAGAGAAGCAACTGGGGGGGCTTTATCTAATCCTTTGTTTTTTAGTTAATTTGCAAATGTTGGTGGCAGCGAGACAATCCACCGCAACATTCATTCATTGTGACACCGGAGGGCTGATGTATGGTTCCATGAACGGTATCAACGGTTAGGTGACACCATAATAAATAAATTTAATATTAATTTCAATAATGTACTATGTTTATAGATTCTTTAGCTTAGATGGTTTTAATAGGTCCATTTCTAATCAATTTAATCAAAGTATGATTTTACTATTCATATCTAAATTTACGACAGCAATAAATATCATTATACTATTCTTATCGTGTATTTGGTAGGGATTGGGAGAGCTTTGTCGACGTCGTACTCGTGTTCCTGCTTGACTTATAACCTTGGTTTCGAAGTTGTCTTGAATGCGCCTCAGGATAGAATACTCACAGTAAGATCAATGCACTTCACTCGAGAAGAGAGGCTCACAAAATATGATTATTATATAATATATATATTTTTATCAAAATCAATTAAAGATAATTAACCTCGTCCACTTATAACATAAAATTAAAATATTGACTTGCATCTTTGATATTCACGATTTACAATAGTTTAATTGCAGTCAGTTCTACATAATTCATCATATATTTAAATCTACAACAACTTTCAAAAACTTAAGAAACACCGTTAGATGACATTATCTTGTTTGTTTCATTAAAACTGGACAAACAACTATGGTTGTTGTGTTTGACCGCATAATTCTCACTCTCTCTCCACTAAATGCAGGATACATGCTTTAAAATATTCTAGTGTATATATATATATATATATATATATATATATATATATATATATATATATATATATATATATATATATCAGTTTAACGTTTCTAGAGTGAATGTAGATAAGTTATCTACCTTCCAAAACGACGTCATTTTGGGTTAAAAAATTATAATAAAAAAGACTATTATAACCCTGAAATAAATTATAATTACAAAAATACCTTGATT